CCGTGCCTCTCACTCACTCCACGTGCCTCTCACTCACTCCACGTGCCTCTCACTCACCCGCGTGCTCTCACTCACGCCACGTGCCTCTCACCCACCCCACGTGGGTCTCACTCACGCCCCGTGCCTCTCACCCCACCCCACGTGCCTCTCACCCACTCCCCGTGCCTCTCACTCACTCCCCGTGCCTCTCACTCACTCCACGTGCCTCTCACTCACTCCGCGTGCCTCTCACTCACTCCGCGTGCCTCCTCACTCACTCCCCGTGCCTCTCACTCACTCCACGTGCCTCTCCCTCACTCCACGTGCCTCTCACTCACTCCGCGTGCCTCTCACTCACTCCCCGTGCCTCTCACTCACTCCGCGTGGCCTCTCACCCACTCCCCGTGCCTCTCACTCCTCCCACGTGCCTCTCACTCATCCCCGTGCCTCTCACCACTCCCACGTGTCTCTCACTCCTCCCACGTGCCTCTCACTCCACTCCCCGTGCCTCTCACTCACTCCACGTGCCTCTCACTCACTCCCCGTGCCTCTCACTCACTCCCCGTGCCTCTCACTCACTCCCCGTGCCTCTCACTCCACTCCGCGTGCCTCTCACCCACTCCCGTGCCTACTCACTCACTCCACGTGCACTCTCACTCACTCCCCGTGCCTCTCACTCACTCCACGTGCCTCTCACTCACCCCACGTGCCTCTCACCCACTCCCGTGCCTCTCACTCACTCCGCGTGCCTCTCACTCACTCCCCGTGCCCTCTCACCCACTCCACGCTGCCTCTCACCCACTCACGTGGCTCTCACTCACTCCCCGTGCCTCTCACTCACTCCACGTGCCTCTCCTCACTCCGCGTGCCTCTCACTCACTCCACGTGCCTCTCACTCACTCCACGTGCCTCTCACTCACTCACGTGCCTCTCACTCACTCCACGTGCCTCTCACTCATCCACGTGCCTCTCACTCACTCCCCGTGCCTCTCACTCACTCCCCGTGCCTCTCACTCACTCCGCGTGCCTCTCACCCACTCCCCGTGCCTCTCACTCCCTCCACGTGCCTCTCACTCACTCCCCGTGCCTCTCACTCACTCCACGTGCCTCTCACTCACCCACGTGCCTCTCACCCACTCCACGTGCTCTCATCCACTCCGCGTGCCTCTCCTCACTCCCGTGCCTCTCACCCACTCCACGTGCCTCTCACCCACTCCACGTGGCTCTCACTCACTCCCCGTGCCTCTCACTCACTCCACGTGCCTCTCACCCACTCCCCGTGCCTCTCACTCACTCCCCGTGCCTCTCACTCACTCCACGTGCCTCTCACTCACGTCCACGCTGCCTCTCACTCACTCACGTGCCTCTCACTCACTCCCCGTGCCTCTCACTCACTCCACGTGCCTCTCACTCCACTCCCCGTGCCTCTCATCCACTCCCCGTGCCTCCACCACTCCACGTGCCTCTCACTCACTCCACGTGCCTCTCACCCACTCCCCGTGCCTCTCACCCCACTCCCCGTGCCTCTCACCCACTCCACGTGCCTCTCACCCACTCCACGTGCCTCTCACTCACTCCACGTGCCTCTCACTCACTCCCCGTGCCTCTCACCCACTCCACGTGCCTCTCACCCACTCCCCGTGCCTCTCACCCACTCCACGTGCCTCTCACTCACTCCCCGTGCCTCTCACTCACTCCCCGGCTCTCTCACTCACTCCACGTGCCTCTCACTCACTCCACGTGCCTCTCACACACTCCACGTGCCTCTCACTCACTCCCGTGCCTCTCACCCACTCCACGTGCCTCTCACTCACTCCCCGGTGCCTCCTCACTCACTCCCCGTGCCTCTCACTCACTCCACGTGCCTCTCACTCACTCCACGTGCCTCTCATCACTCCGCGTGCCTCTCACTCACTCCGCGTGCCTCTCACTCACTCCCCGTGCCTCTCACTCACTCCCCGTGCCTCTCACTCACTCCCCGTGCCTCTCACTCAATCCCCGTGCCTCTCACTCACTCCCCGTGCCTCTCACTCACTCCACGTGCCTCTCACTCACTCCCCGTGCCTCTCACTCACTCCCCGTGCCTCTCACTCACTCCCCGTGCCTCTCACTCACTCCCCGTGCCTCTCACTCACTCCACGTGCCTCTCACCCACTCCACGTGCCTCTCACTCACTCCACGTGCCTCTCACCCACTCCACGTGCCTCTCACTCACTCCACGTGCCTCTCACCCACTCCACGTGCCTCTCACCCACTCCACGTGCCTCTCACTCACTCCACGTGCCTCTCACCCACTCCCCGTGCCTCTCACCCACTCCGCGTGCCTCTCACCCACTCCCCGTGACTCTCACTCACTCCACGTGCCTCTCACTCACTCCACGTGCCTCTCACCCACTCCACGTGCCTCTCACTCACTCCACGTGCCTCTCACTCACTCCACGTGCCTCTCACCCACTCCACGTGCCTCTCACTCACTCCACGTGCCTCTCACTCACTCCACGTGCCTCTCACTCACTCCACGTGCCTCTCACTCACTCCACGTGCCTCTCACTTCACTACCACACACACCCCCCGACCTTGTGCCTTCTTCCCCCTACTCCACGGCCTCTCACTCATCCACGTGCCTCTCACTCCAACTCCACGTGCCTCTCACTCACTCCGCGTGCCTCTCACTCACTCCACGTGCCTCTCACTCCACGTGCCTCTCACTCACTCCACGTGCCTCTCACCCACTCCACGCGCCTCTCCACTCACTCCACGTGCCTCTCACCCCACTCCACGTGCCTCTCACCCACTCCCCGTGCCTCTCACTCACTCCACGTGCCTCTCACCCACTCCACGTGCCTCTCACTCACTCCACGGCCTCTCACTTCACTCCACGTGCCTCTCACTCACTCCCCGTTGCCTCTCAATCACTCCACGTGCCTCTCACTCACTCCGCGTGCCTCTCACTCACTCCACGTGCCTCTCAATCACTCCACGTGCCTCTCACTCACTCCCCGTGCCTCTCACTCACTCCCCGTGCCTCTCACTCACTCCACGTGCCTCTCAATCACTCCACGTGCCTCTCACTCACTCCGCGTGCCTCTCACTCACTCCACGTGCCTCTCAATCACTCCACGTGCCTCTCACTCACTCCCCGTGCCTCTCACTCACTCCACGTGCCTCTCAATCACTCCACGTGCCTCTCAATCACTCCACGTGCCTCTCAATCACTCCACGTGCCTCTCACTCACTCCACGTGCCTCTCAATCACTCCACGTGCCTCTCACTCACTCCCCGTGCCTCTCACTCACTCCACGTGCCTCTCACTCACTCCACGTGCCTCTCAATCACTCCACATGCCTCTCACTCACTCCACGTGCCTCTCAATCACTCCACGTGCCTCTCACTCACTCCCCGTGCCTCTCACTCACTCCACGTGCCTCTCAATCACTCCCCGTGCCTCTCAATCACTCCACGTGCCTCTCACTCACTCCGCGTGCCTCTCACTCACTCCGCGTGCCTCTCACTCACTCCACGTGCCTCTCACTCACTCCACGTGCCTCTCACTCACTCCACGTGCCTCTCACTCACTCCACGTGCCTCTCAATCACTCCACGTGCCCTCACTCACTCCGCGTGCCTCTCACTCACTCCCCGTGCTCTCAATCACTCCACGTGCCTCTCACTCACTCCGCGTGCCTCTCACTCACTCCACGTGCCTCTCACTCACTCCACGTGCCTCTCACTCACTCCCGTGCCTCTCAATCACTCCACGTGCCTCTCACCACTCCCCGTGCCTCTCACCCACTCCACGTGCCTCTCACTCACTCCACGTGCCTCTCACTCACTCCCCGTGCCTCTCAATCACTCCACGTGCCTCTCACTCACTCCCGTGCCTCTCACTCACTCCACGTGCCTCTCACTCACTCCACGTGCCTCTCACCCACTCCCGTGCCTCTCACTCCACGTGCCTCTCACTCACTCCACGTGCCTCTCACTCACTCCACGTGCCTCTCACTCACTCCCCGTGCCTCTCACCCGCTCCGCGTGGCTTGTGCTGGTCTAGGTTCTGCCCCCCTCTGCGATAGCGGGACAGTGTCCGTGTCAGGCCGCATGACTGAGTTTTGGCCTATGTTGACAAGTTGACTCGCCTTACTGATTGAACCATGAGGGGATTAAAGTTTTAAATTTAATTTGTTAAGGGCAAATTTCTTCTTCAAAGGACGTAATCATCCTGTAAGTAGACTTGTGATTCCTTTCAACTTATTCTTAGCATTCTGTCAACTTCGTTACCCTGGTGTCAGTCTACAGTTTGCATGTCAAGTTTTCAAAGTGAAGTTTGTGTAACCAGGACGATGACCCAAGAAGGGAGCAGGTTAGGAGCCTCGCTCGCAGGAACGGCCTGAGGTTACCACGAAGACAAAGACGCGATCACAGGCGGTGCTCAGTGCAAAACGCGCACGCGGTTTGGGGTGCGCGCGATCCCGCGAGCGTTTGTCGTGTTAGATCCCTAAATCAAGCCAAGCCAAACTCTCGTTATCGTGGAAAATGACCGATAACTGGATAACATCTCGTTTGCAAATCTCCGTATCCTCCAATATACGTATGTGTGTTGAACTTCCACTGCCCAAGCGGAGTTAAACATCGTTACAAACCTCCACGACCCGTGTAGACGTTTACCCTGTTCGTCCCTGCTCTTGTCGTTATCCATAATTTTGCAGTAACGGCAAGGACACACGAGCCAGCAACAAACAGCACAGCCAAAGTTGTACTCGAGAAGAGATATCGCTCTCCTTGATTTGAGCAAGGTTATACGAGCTTGGGAATTGAGACGATGGTAGATTTGTGGGCAACGGCAGTAATCGGGGTTCTGCAGGGGCCAATGGGGAAGAGAGGGGGGCTGAGTTCTCTGGACTCGTTCTGTGGTAGTCACCTAGGAGACCATCACACTGCCAATGGAGAGGTTTCCACGTTGCAATAAAAGAACAGTGGGGGATCGCGGTTGTCTCTGTTCCTAGTCGAGAGTGTGCAACATACCTGTAATTCATTAATGGTCCTGTTCACGGAGCCTTCAACCTTGGAGTCAGGTATTATCTCGGCCAAATCCTGTTCAAATGCCAGCACCTTCTCCATTTCTGCGCATGATGAATTTCCTCCACCCAGCAGCCTTGTCACACGCATCATGTACTCTTTGTATGCAGGCAGTATCTTGCATAGGAAATAATGTGCCAAAGGTTAATCACGATTATGCATTCCAACAGCAGCTCTAATGAGAAGAATGCACGAGTCTACACAGCCAGTATTCACATTTCATATAGCCCCTAATGAGAGAACACCTCTAGACTCTGTACAGAGAGTAGTGTGCCTATTCATCTCAGGGAGAGAGGCTGCCGGTGACAGGCAATGGGACACAACTCCTGGACTTGAACTGGAGCAGGGGAAATGAGCGACCTCCCACTTGAGTGAAGGTTGAGACAGAGAGCTTTGGCTGCTGGAGTAGAGAGCTACAGTAATAGAGAGGAGAGTGAGATGAGATGGCAGAGGTAGGGGAGTGTAAGGAGGGGAGTAGAGTCAGATGAGAGGTAGGGGAGTGCATGGAGGGGAGTAGAGTGAGATGAGAGGTAGGGGAGTGCATGGAGGGGAGTAGAGTGAGATGAGAGGTAGGGGAGTGCATGGAGGGAGTAGAGTGAGATGAGAGGTAGGGAGTGTAAGGAGGGGAGTAGAGTGATAAGAGAGGTAGGGGAGTGCATAGAGGGGAGTAGAGTCAGATGAGAGGTAGGGGAGTGTATGGAGGGGAGTAGAGTCAGATGAGAGGTAGGAGAGTTCGTGGAGGGGAGTAGAGTGATATGAGAGGTAGGGGAGTGCGTGGAGGGGAGTAGAGTGATATGGGAGGTAGGAGAGTTCGTGGAGGGGAGTAGAGTGATAAGAGAGGTAGGGGAGTGCGTGGAGGGGAGTAGAGTGATAAGAGAGGTAGGGGAGTGCATGGAGGGGAGTAGAGTGAGATGAGAGGTAGGGGAGTGTATGGAGGGGAGTCGAGTCAGATGAGAGGTAGGGGAGTGTAAGGAGGGGAGTCGAGTGAGATGAGAGGTAGGGGAGTGCATGGAGGGGAGTAGAGTGATAAGAGAGGTAGGGGAGTGTGTGGAGCGGAGTAGAGTGATAAGAGAGGTAGGGGAGTGTATGGAGGGGAGTCGAGTGAGATGAGAGGTAGGGGAGTGCATGGAGGGGAGTAGAGTGATAAGAGAGGTAGGGGAGTGTATGGAGGGGAGTAGAGTGAGATGAGAGGTAGGGGAGTGTATGGAGCGGAGTAGAGTGATAAGAGAGGTAGGGGAGTGCATGGAGGGAGTAGAGTGAGATGAGAGGTAGGGGAGTGCATGGAGGGGAGTCGAGTGAGAAGAGAGGTAGGGGAGTGTATGGAGGGGAGTAGAGTGAGATGAGAGGTAGGGGAGTGTATGGAGGGGAGTAGAGTGATAAGAGAGGTAGGGGAGTGCGTGGAGGGGAATAGAGTGATAAGAGAGGTAGGGGAGTCGTGGAGGGGAGTAGAGTGATAAGAGAGGTAGGGGAGTGCATGGAGGGGAGTAGAGTGATAAGAGAGGTAGGGGAGTGCGTGGAGGGGAGTAGAGTGATAAGAGAGGTAGGGGAGTGTATGGAGGGGAGTCGAGTCAGATGAGAGGTAGGGGAGTGTAAGGAGGGGAGTCGAGTCAGATGAGAGGTAGGGGAGTGTATGGAGGGGAGTAGAGTGATAAGAGAGGTAGGGGAGTGTATGGAGGGGAGTAGAGTGAGATGAGAGGTAGGGGAGTGTATGGAGGAGTAGTAGAGTCAGATGAGAGGTAGGGGAGTCCATGGAGGGGGAGTAGAGTGAGATGAGAGGTAGGGGAGTGTATGGAGGGGAGTAGAGTGAGATGAGAGGTAGGGGAGTGCATGGAGGGGAGTAGAGTGAGATGAGAGGTAGGGGAGTGCATGGAGGGGAGTAGAGTGATAAGAGAGGTAGGGGAGTGCATAGAGGGGAGTAGAGTCAGATGAAAGGTAGGAGAGTTCGTGGAGGGGAGTAGAGTGATATGAGAGGTAGGGGAGTGCGTGGAGGGGAGTAGAGTGATATGGGAGGTAGGGGAGTGCGTAGAGGGGAGTAGAGTGAGATAAGAGGCAAGGGAGTGCGTAGAGGGGAGTAGAGTGAGATAAGAGGCAAGGGAGTGCGTAGAGGGGAGTACAGTGAGATAAGGGGGAGAGTCCGTGGGGTATCTTGAATCAGCATTTCACCATAGCTTACCTTGTTCACGGGATTATTGGAGTAATAAAGTGATGGCAGACTCAACTTGGGTGTAGAAAGCTGAAAGCCGGTAAGAGAACACATTCATGTTAGTGAAATGTTACAGTTTGCTCATATTTTGCAAAGCTAAACATCCTAATAATTAATTTAACAAATTTCAACTCAGCCTGAAAGCATTTAGACATTAGCCCTCTTTGTCTGTCTGTCCGTCCATCTGAGGCTGAGGGACACTATAAATTTCGTTAAGTATGTAAATAAGTTGTGTTGCTATTAAGGAGTTACCAGATAGAATAAATCTAATAATTAATCACTAATCACCCATCATCATCCGGCTTAGTCTGATGTTGATGGGTGACTGAAGCTTAACCCGATCTTGCCCAGAATCTCTTGCGCAGGCAAGGCAGGCCTTTTCTCTGGAGGTATTCTGCCTCAACTGCGTTTATGTTTAAAATACATTTAAAAACAATATCACGTTATCGCGTGTGACATCATCTTGTAACAAGTGACATGATCTTTCATTAAACGATAATTAACGTATTAATTTAATGGACATATTGGTAACTACCATGGCGATTGTGCTCATGAAATGCATTCATCTATTCCTCTCCTTATCACGTGAATTCAAATGAAAGACGACAATTTCTCCCACATGGCAGTGTTAGTTGTGTTTAAGGTGACACAAAACCACGTAACAGGTGAAGCCACCCAGAATAAGCACCTCATTTGAGACACAAAATAACGCACAACTTCTGGCTTTGACATTCCTCTTCAAAGACACTGGTGCAACTATCATCCGTATCAGAACATCAACAGTCCGATGTGCACATCTTCTTCATAATTGGAGAATTAAGGGCAAGCCACAGTAGTGCGATTGTGGCCATGCAGCCCAAACAATGGACCATATAATAAACCGTTGTAGTCGATACTCCTTCAACGGAGAACAACAAAACTACACAAACTCTCTCCTGAAAAGCCTTCGTGGCCAGCACACGTTGACATTGCCATCGAGTTCCTGAACATCTTGCTGCCATCATTCACAAGACTGACTCTTTGCTCTCATCCACACTGATCCCAACCACCACGCTACAACTCACACACTCAACAACCGGCATTCACCACTAAGTGGTGGTGACATCACCACGGCGCCTGTGCCAGGCTATGTGCACGTTAAGGCCACGTGAAGTGTCGAACACCCACTGGCAGGTCACGGGGCAGACCAGGTTCCATTGACTGAGATGACTGGCCGATGCACCACTTGTACCCCCTATTGTGCCAACTTGCTGTGTTTTAGCCACCCGGTGCTCGGCTCGTTGTTCTGAGCATCGCTCCTCCGCCCTCCGTTGTTGCTGGAGGGCGACTGCCTTCAACTGCCCAGTAACAGGCCAGCCTAATTGTTTCTAATCGGCGAAGATGCTCCAATAGCGGGGGAGTCCATGTTTCGCAACATAGAGAAGGGAGGGCATGATCGTGGCCGGGAAGACACACTCACTCACACACACAATCACCCACCCACTGTTTACTGCTGGGTGTTTGACGTTTCGTCTTTTATGCTCAGACTGAGTTTTAAAAAATTGTCGACATATGAATATTGGGTTGGCTCTCATACATAATGCTGATATTTTGAACAAAAATCTCATCGCAGATGACAGACCTACCTTGATGTAAAACATTTCTGGGCTGTCAATCCCAGGAACAACATCAATGTCGAAGAGGGCTGGAGACAAGAACTTGCGTGACAAATGTGTCATCAGCTCCGTCAGATGCAGGTGACTCGAGTTGCCCAGAACACCCCAGCCACCAAACTGCAACCGCACACAACCAGCCGACTGTGAACAGTGTGGCAGGAGATTCACAACAGCCGACGTGTACAGTGTGGCAGCAGATTCACAACCAGCCGACGGTACAGTGTGGCAGGAGATTCACAACCAGCCGACGTGTACAGTGTGGGCAGCAGATTCACAACCAGCCGACGGTTACAGTGTTGGCAGCAGATTCACAACCAGCCGACGTGTACAGTGTGGCAGCAGATTCACAACCAGCCGACGGTGTACAGTGTGGCAGCAGATTCACAACAGCCGACGTGTACCAGTGTGGCAGGAGATTCGCAACCAGCCGAGGGAACAGTGTGGCAGGAGATTCACAACCAGCCGACCGGGAACAGTGTGGCAGGAGATTCGCAACAAGCCGACGGGAAACAGTGTGGCAGGAGATCACAACCAGCCGACGTGACAGTGTGGCAGGAGATTCGCAACCAGCCGACGGGAACAGTGTGGCAGGAAGATTCACAACAAGCCGACGTGTACAGTGTGGCAGCAGATTCGCAACCAGCCGACGTGTACAGTGTGGCAGCAGATTCACAACCAGCCGACGTGTACAGTGTGGCAGGAGATTCGCAAACCAGCCGACGGGGAAACAGTGGTGGCAGGAGATTCACAACCAGCGACCGTGTCAGTGTGGCAAGCAGATTCACAACCAGCCGACGTGTACAGTGTGGCAGGAGATTCGCAACCAGCCGACGGGAACAGTGTGCAGGAGAATTCACAACAGCCGACGGGAGGAAACAGTGTGGCAGGAGATTCGCAACCAGCCGACGGGAACAGTGTGGCAGGAGATTCGCAACCAGCCGACGTGTACAGTGTGGCAGGAGATTCCAACCAGCCGACGGGAACAGTGTGGCCGCAGATTCGCAACCAGCGACGTGTCCAGTGTGGCAGGAGATTCGCAACCAGCCGACGGGAACAGTTGTGGCAGCAGATTCGCAACCAGCCGACGTGTACAGGTGGCAGGAGATTCGCAACAGCCGACGGGACAGTGTGGCTAGCAGATTCGCAACCGAGAACTCCTCTTATCCACGACCCTATTACGTGCGACTTCTATTATCCACGACTCCAATTATCCACAGGCGCTTATGTAGTGTCCGTGAAATCTCCTATTGACACGCAGCCCGAAGATCCCAATTATCCGCTGTCATCTGCAACTCTTCCCCTAAGTCTTTACTTAATGGCTCCAATTGTCATCGATCTTTCCTCGCGGGTAAGTGGAGAAAATGTGTGGATAACCCCGCGGATAATAAGACCCGCAATATCGGTCCCCTATTGTGATGGACAAAAGGAGCGTTCGCAGCCTCCCTTCGCCCCAGCAGACACCCGCCCACCAGACACCCGCCCACCAGACACCCACCAGACACCCGCCCACCAGACACCCACCCACCAGACACCCGCCCACCAGACACCCGCCCACCAGACACCCACCCACCAGACACCCGCCCACCAGACACCGCCCACCAGACACCCACCAGACACCGCCCACCAGACACCCGCCCACCAGACCCCCAGACACCCGCCCACACCCGCCCACCGCACCACCAGACACCCGCCACCAGACACCCACCCACAGCCACCCGCCCACCAGACACCCACCCCACCAGACACCCGCCCCACCAGACACCCACCAGACACCCGCCCACCCAGACACCCACCCACCAGACACCCGCCCCACCAGGCATCAACGAGACCGCGCTCCCCGACAGCACCGCCGCTGAGTGGGGCGACGAGCGGGGACGGTACATCCTTGAGAAGCTCCAGCAGGGGAGTAGCCCCAAGTCCTCGACTCTTTCTTCGTCCATGCAGGCCAAGTAGAACGCCTGGGCGCGTACGCGGCCAGATTCTCACGTTTGCACGAACGTGCCGTTCTCTACGCACCAGGCACAAATAGCTCCTTAACGCTCGTCGCAAAACGACGCGAACCAACTTGGAGGCTTCAAGTGGCGGGCGTCCAATGAACACGTTATCGGGGCCACCACCACGCTGCGTGGCTTTTCACAACACGCAGCTCACAGTGACCCCCACCACCACACCGCTAAACTTCACAACACGCAGCTCATCAGTGACCCCACCACCACACCGCATAACTTCCACAACACGCAGCTCATCAGTGACCCCACCACCACACCGCATAACTTCCACAACACGCAGCTCATCAGTGACCCCACCACCACACCGCATACTTTCACAACACGGCAGCTCATCAGTGACCCCACCACACCAACCGCATAACTTCCACAACCCGCAGCTCATCAGTCAGCCTACACCACACACCGCACGGCTTCTATCTTCCAAGAAGCAATGGGCGGCGCTAAACTGGAATCTGCACAACCCATGGAAGATGCGGACACCTAATGCATTAGTGGACGCTAAAAGATAGGACTGCGGATGCAAACACCAACTTGACAGAAAAATGTTGCACTGCTTAAATGTGAAGGCGCTGTATCTTCATTCACCAACTTTCAGGCAAATAAACTGAACAGCTCGATCACGTATACATTAACGTCCAATAGTTGCTCTTCATTGGCCTATGAAAGGCATTGTCATGTGAAACCAAATCTGGTGTTTGGCTTGCGCAGATTCGAGGGCTCGCTACTGCCTCCAAATATTCTTCCCCACATTTCCGTGACAAATGCAGAGCGGCACTGTCTTGCGCTTGACTCTGCGGCAAATTGAAGGCACAATGCGCATTTTGAGCTAAACTGGGACCCACATCTGACAGAGATCTAGGGCCTTGCCAATAAACAACTTCTGGCAGTTCTTCAATCCTGGCTCTGCTAAATGTCAAAACCAGTTCTTATTAAAACAATCTGGCAGTTCACAAGCATTGTTTTAAGCAAGTCTGACTCTGCTGGTGAGATGACTGTCGAAACTGGTCCAGAGTTTGCTCGTGTTTAACCAATGCTGCTGAAATAACGCACTCCCAGAGGCCTGTTTGGCTGATGGGATGTGTATACGAAATACTTGTAGTTGTTTATGTGGAGGGACAGGTATGGGATGGAGGAGAGTCATCTGCTTATATTTTTACAACCTCGCTCATGGTTAAGT